AAGCATACATTACACATAGTCGAAATTAGAAAATTGCAACCAGAAAACTATTTGATGTGTATTCATTATATTTACAACGATGAGGAATTTGATTTAACACCTTTTCTCGACGGCGCGCATTTGTTTAAGACGCTCCTGCGGGACGGAAGGGAATCGAAGGCAGTCACCGTACGGGACGGAGGTTTTGCATCGCCAAGCCTAATTTTATAAAAAAAATCAGAAAAAAAAAAGTTTCACTTTGAGCATTGTAATTTTTAGTATCATTTTAGATTATTACTTGAGCTCTTATATATGTTAAAATTAGTACTTAATAACGTTTTTTCCTATATTTTACATGAAAATATACTTTAAAAATTGCTATCTTGTAAAATAATTTTCGGAAGCACATTTCAAATTATTCCAAAGTTTTAATTGATAAAAATCCATCAATAAAGTTTAAAATTAATAAAACAGCACAATAAAGACTATTTACAGTAAGAAGTAACAAAATTTAAAATGAAGATTGCGTTAAATCTCGAAGCACGGAGAAGTATCACTTTCTAACTCTTTAGCACCCTCATTTGCATTAGTAAATGGTTCACTAACCATACGAGGGTATTCTTCCTCTGATAAATAGTGCCTTCCCGCCATAATAGACTAGAGGTGAAGCTTTCCTAAATAAAACGAGAAGAAACGGTAATATATTTGAAGGCAATTCAAAACATAAAAGAACTCTACACAGTAGCCCTAAAAGACCGTACATTGTAGAGTGAAAAAAAAAAAAAAAAAAAAAAAAAACAGAATTAAAAAAAGGAATTGGATATAAATCAGACACGAGAATATTTTCATTAAAACGCAGCGATTTAAAGAGCCCACCTCTGTTTACGCTTTCCCTCCCCCCTCGCAACAGCTGATGAGTAAAATGCCAAAGTCAGGCAATATATATCAAAGTCAAGAACCTAAAAATGTGTACATTTCAAAAGTAATGGACATAGGATGCCATCTAATGGCCTTCAGAAAACGTTCCAGCTTAAAATGCGTATACGCACCCCCGTCCTCTGAATGCAATATCTATTGATGCGTGGATGGACACACGGCTTAGAGACGTCTTAGGGAATGGTATGGGACGCCCGTTGAAAGGGTTAATCATATCAACGACGGAGTACATCGGATGAATACTAATTTAGTAAGGACTATAAGCGAATAAATAAATCTCTGCCGGAAGTAAGGTAGGTTGCGATCAACTTCCAATTATTGGCAATCATTTCTCACCCCCCCCCATGCGCAGAGCAGCGTGGAAATGATAAACAGATTTCGGATTTCAAAATACTTTCCTTTGTTATCCTTTCAATTAGTAATATATATCGGAAATTTCTATTTAATAATGAAAGTCAAGTACTTTTATAAATGCTCTAACAGTCTGCAAAAAATAATAAACCGGATCCAATTGAAGTTAAGAACAATGCAATCTGAACATTAACTGAATTATATAATTTTGATTAGCTTATTACCGGCCGTTATACATTAAACCGCGCATGTGAACTATATACGCTGCGCACATGCATATTCGCAGCCGTAAAGGTTTTACGCGTACACGTACACGTAAACACCTATGCGCATGCGTCGAGTTGACGGATGTGCAGAAAGTTTGTAACTTTGAGGTCCGGATTATAGATCATTCCGGATTATGGGTGTCCGAATTAACGAATTTTGACTGTACTAGTTAAACACAGTTGCTATGTACATGCAGCAAACTGTTCATATAGTTACAGTAATCAGAACAACTTTCTCATCCACAAAGATGAAACTGAAACCTAAGATTTTTCAGAAATACTATTTCCTAATCAAATTTCAAATCTGGATTAGAGTAGACTGAAGAGTACCCCTTGTATTATCACAAAGTTGTTGTTCCATTTATGGTCACCTGGGTAGTTGAATGTTCTGTAAATATACTTTCACCTAGACTGGGAGCTATCTTGGAAATGGTAACAGTAGTTTGGCGCTTTTGGGTAAGGCAATTAAGATTACTACTAGGACTTAGCAGTGTACAGGATAAAGTCAAGAGGTGCGCATGCCATTTTGTGCAATTCGAGATTTTTTTAAGTGACAAATAGGGTCGACTGTACATGATAAGTGTAGTGCATTCTTAAAACGCGGCAAGCGTGGGCGATTCTGCACTTTCTCCCAATTTTGCACGTAATCTTCGTCATGATTAAGCACTTTTGTTCCATAAGCGTAATTCGGCTAGCAGATTGTTGGAAAAAAAATGTTGAGTAAAAGAGAAAAAAACATGCCTTTACTTCATGGAATCAAAATGGCGTCCAAACAAAAACTAGTAGGTACAAGTCAAAGAATTGCACAAATTTGATATCCATGTACCGCCAAAAATCGCCAAGGGGTACACATAAATATACTTTTACCAAATCTGCTATCATTTTTGATAATTAAAATACATACTTTCTGTATTGTTAAGTTTCTATTTCTGTTATATGATAGCTTTAAAAAAATTGAGTCCAGGCAAGCAAAACGAGGTTGATCTTTAGATTATGGTAACTTGGCAATTTTTTTGCGAAAATTTGGCGACCAACTCTCCTTTAGCAACCCTCTATTTTTTTTTTCCCGCCGCCATTGTGTCTTCATGAAGTAAAGACATGTTTCTTTTCTTTTATCTACTGAAACTTCTTCCAACAATCTACTAGCCGAATTACACTTATGCTAGAAATTTTATCTAACAAAACTGCTTAATCATGACAATATTCACTGCAAAATTGGGGAAAAAAGTGCACAATCGCAAATTCCTGTGCATTTTTTCACAAAAACATACACATAAACCATGTACACGTCGACTTATTTTTTAAAAAAACATCCCAGAATTACACAAAAATGGCATTGCGCACATCTTCACTATATCCATGTACTCCTTTTTTTTTCATAAATTAGAAAATTTCACGAAAAATGCATGACAATTTTGAATCTTAAAACCCGTTAAAAAGAACATATATGAAATTACCTAATAACGAAAAGTATTACCCTTGCCAAAATGAACATTTCCACGTAGTAAATAAATAAAATATCAAAAACTTTTTACCTCTAAATTATCTTATATTATAAACGTCACCAACGAATTCATACCGCAAACATTACAAATACTTAGTGTCAAATATTTAAATTATTTCCATGCACGTTTACTTCAACTAAAACGATACCAAATTCCTACAAACATAAAATTCACAAATAACTATCATTTTATTAAAATATAATTAAATTCAAAAACACTACTTAAAATATAAATAAGCACATACATTAAATTAATAAAAATTAGCTTACGATCCTAATTACTTTAAACTAAATAATTGCTAATAACAATTTTCCCAATACTACCAAATTACTTTAACTTCCACCTTACATTTAGAACAATGCATAAAAATAATATCCTCAAATAATTAAAAATACTAACTTAACCTAATCTTCTTCAGAATCTTGATTACGTGTCCGTAAAACTTTTTTATTTATCCGTTAAATAAAAGCAAGCGTATGTGCACCTGTTTCAGGATCTTTAAAATCATACTTATAGTTCACAGCAAGGTACCAGGTAAAATAAATAACTTAGTAAAACATCTTTACTTCTATCTCGCACAACCTTAAAAAAACACTTATTTATTACTACCCTTTCAATCCCACTAAATAGCCATTTCGAATTCACTTTAGTTAGGGCCATGGGATCCAAAAATTAACGAACACTGTTTCACACAACACAGAATAAAGCCAAATACAAAATTTCCAGATTTTTTCCCGATTTCCCCTTTTTTCCGATTAAAGAACCGTAATTCGTCCATTAATATCACATGACATATCCCATGATCTCTCATTTCCCTCACACAAAATAATGCGTAATCGGAACTGAGTACTGCTCACATTATTACCAAAGTCCCAGGTAGTAACCTTTATCGCCTCCAAAATGTCGCCAAACTACCAGTTACCATATTCTAAAGATCAGCACAAACGAATCAAAGGCCAAATTTCTAGGAACACATTTTTCCAACTGAATTAACAATGAAATATGGTAAAATCCTAGTATACGGTGCAGCCTTGGCACGATTTTGAAAATTATCGCTAACACCAAAAATGATCCAAAGAACGTCTATATATATATACTATACACTACATAGTATATACACTATAGAGTTTATACTATGTATAACCATATATATTCTTTGAATGACCAGTTTACTACTCATCGTACATGTCGCGTTTTTACTGCTCATCATAAAGTCGCCAAAAGTAGCCAAATCCCGTGTGCACCAGATACTAGGATTAAACCTGAAATATTTCATAGATGATGATATAACCACCTTGCATACAAATCTAGCAGAGATGGTAGCTCATACATGAACTAAAAGCAATACTCTAATTCATAATATGAATAGCGTATCCGAATGATGTCTCCAATGGTGTAACCGAATGTTTAGCAATTGGAGATCATATAAAAAATAATAAAAGGACACAGTGTCGAAAAAAGCTCATGCATGAAATGCAGCCTTCATCTACCCAGTAAATTCTGACATTGATTCAAAAGATTTTGAATTACATAACAACACATTAAATAAATTCATTACCTACATTGATACATAATCACACATTAAATAAGTTCATTACCTACCACCATCACTTAAAGATACTACAAATCTGATTCATTCATTATTTTTCACTTTTAAGCCACAAATTTGACTACACAAATGTTAAAAAAAAATCAAACAGATTTAAATTACAGCTTTGTTCCGTAACATAGTTAGTTGCCAGGCAATATTACTTAAATCTAATAAAATTTAGTTGCGAACTATTATGCACAAATGAACATGGGAAAATTCTAATACTCCCCTCCTAACACAGCTTTCATTCAAAAGATGCAAAAGAGTTTATCAAAAAATTACCTTAAAAAAAAGGGGGAGTCATCCAATTCTTAATCAAATTCAGTTTTATATACATCAATAGGAAGGATTAAAAAAAAAAACCTGTCTTACCTTTCGATACTCGTCCGTAAATATTTCGCTATCGACATTTGTAATAATTAGGGATGTCGGAAGGTCAGAAGTGTCGGCAAGTTCTTCCGAAATGTCAACATCATCTTCCAAATTATCAAGCATATTGTCACTAGCTGCACCAAAGTTAGTTTTAAAAAATTTCATTCTTTGTAATAAATTTATGTAAATATTACTCTCCCTAACGGATTCCCTTTAATTCACAGATCTAAGATGTTAAATAACATATCATAGAAACAGAACTAGGAGTTTACGCATTAGTTCTGAACAATCGAACAGTCATAAAAACATCCTAGAGAGGAAATACTTCTTAATATATCATCAACACTTTCCAAATGATATACAGACAGTTATTTCAATATGATAAATGTCTTAGGAAAATTAAAAGAAGGAAAATACTGTAAAGCAGTACGCTAGAACAAACTGAAACTAAATAACACCGGGATCAAGACCAATATTACCATTCAGGTCTTGCAAATTTACAATCCCCGACTGCGCGTGCTCGCGACGCTGTTGCCTTTCTCTAACCACCAATTCCAGATTACATTCCGATCAAAACCACTTCAGCCTGAGTAAGAGGTTCGAATCTCATGATTAATTACATTTGTTTGATTTTGGCAAAGCAAGTGAGGACTATCTGCCTGAGGAGAGGGATGCCTTCGTGGGGGTCCTTCTAAGGATAACTGGCTAATATCAACATAACACTCGGGAAAACTGAAAGGTCCATGCAGCTAATAAAGATGAATGATGAAGATCGTAATTTTATTCTCGATCAGGGGGAAAAGAAACCTGATGAACAAATGCTCTGACACCTCATGCAAAGAAAGTCTATGTACATATTCTTTGCCTTATGTGCACAAACGAATTTTCAAAAAAGATTCATGGGATTGCTTTTCACTTGTAAATGTTCATTTTTTTATGTAATTTGATAAATATGTTGAAAAATATCACAATGTCGAGTTATTTTCTTTTCAGATGTGAAAAAAAGGACTTAATAATAATCAAAATATGTTAATTGCATTTTAATGTTTCTTTTTGTAGCTGGTAATGGAATATCTCTGGTATCTTCCTTCCTTAACATTCAATGATATATACACGGATTTAAACTGTATAATTTGGAACGTTTTAGGTAATTCGTTTTATAATTTTCATGAAATATAAGAAATCAATTGTTACTCTTTTTATGAATTGTAAAGGCGTTAAGTAAAGTAATGCTTTTCTTTACGTGTTAATTATTATTCATTTTTAAGTTTTGTGAACTGTTATGAATATAATTTGTGCATTTGAG